AGGCTGCTTACTGTAACTTACAGCTTCTCTTTAGGTGCCTTTAACTACACTGTAGTTTTCTATCAGAAGTGAGTCATCCGACAGACCTAGGTCCACGCCTGGCCAAAATTCAGGAGGCTCTAGACCCACTTCTGCTTTTGCTGGCTGGAGTTAGGCACTTTGGCTCACATCCTGAGCTCCACACGTAATTACCTTGGAAGATCTCAGCCTTAACTGTTTCAAGACCAGCCACCAGCATTCCCGCGATGGGATTAATCACAGCAGTCTTAGGAAGCGCGTGGTGCTTGGATCAGAAGCTTTGCCACCCTTTCGCTTTCAAAAGCAGGGAAAAAGGAGCAGGGAGAAAATTTTCTGTGCAGAGTTCCTTACAGTGCAAAGAAACATTTTTAATGATGCTGATTGTTTTTTGCTGAAAATGTCTGTTTTCTGTGCAAAATGTCAGCTTTTCAGTTTGGCGACTACTCCGGTGTCTTCATCCCTAAGAATTCAAGGTGACTTTTAATTATCTCACAGTTTAACGGCTGTGGTTGTGACCCGGAGGAGTCTCAGGCTCTCCTCTTGCTGTTGAGCTTTTTGGCAAGCTCCTGGGGGAATGGTTTGCTGCCCAGTATCAGGAATGGGGAGGAATGTTCCATTCAATCCTTTCAGTTGTGACTCCTACTGATTCCTTTCAGGGCTTCCCTTGGGAAGACCCTCTCACAGGAAATGTGCTTAGTCTCACCTATATGTCCAGGACGGCTGGCTGCGCCTCAGGGAGGCCGGTCAGTTGCTCCAGCCTGAAGGGAACGACAAAACTGGAAAAAATGTGAATTCTCATGAGCTGAACAAGGGTAAGAGAGAAGTGCTCCCACCTGCACTCTGCCAGCTACAGCACAAGCAGCTTTAGCTCCGCACACCCTGCGTTTATTTATTTTTAGTGTTTGACCTTATTACTTGACGAAGTCGAACAGAGCGCTGCAAGGGAAGGGTGAACCTGCTCCGGCGGGAGTATCCGCTGCCTGCTGGAGCCGCGCGAGGCAGCGGGGCCCGCGTGGCGACGTGCGGCGACGGAGCAGCCTCTAGCGCCCTGCGCTCCCCGCTGCAGCCGCCGCCGGAGCGGCGCGGAAAACAGAGCCGCGGGGCCGAAAAGCCTGGGATTACTGCGAATAAAGAAGCCAGATTGCGGTGCCAGGCGTAGACTTACACGAGCACTGACAAGAGATAAAGAAAGTCACCGCTCCAAGACATCAAGGGCCTCTTTCCAAGCAGTTTTCCTGGGCTGTAAAGCAACCGGCAGCCCCTGTTTCACGGCCAAAGCTGCAAGTGGAGATATTTTTTTAAAAAGGCATTATTGCTTCATTTAAAATTAACTAATAACCCCTAAATGGAACGGGGGGATGTTAGTATTACTTCCCCCACTGGCCGTTGCAAGCACATTGGTAAGTTTTACATCTTGTAGTGAGATAATAATATATGGGATTTATTTGTCCGATATGGGAATGTTTAGTAGAATTAGGATGAACACATTTTGACTCAAAAAAAAAAAAAAAAAGGAAAATCCTTCAAGGTTATTAGATTTTGCTAATAAACAAACAGGAAAAAATCATCTGCTTTGGCAATAAGTGAGATTTTAATTTTTTTTTTCCCTGCAACAGTAACATTTTTTTTTCCAAATACTTTCACCAGTTTCAGGAAAGGGTGGGTTAGAGTCAGGGGTTTCCTGAGCCTTTTCAGAACATGGTTTTAACGTAGCCGTGTGTTTAGAAGAGCCCCTAGAGAGTCTTGTTTTGGAACACTCTGACGCCTACACATTATTATCTTTGCTACGTTTTGCACTTTTGTGTGAAATTTATTTTTAATCTTTAACAAAACACGCCTCTGTTTATCTTAAATTCAGAAAAGGTTTAATAATTTAAAACAAAATAACTTTTCAAATAATTAGATTTACAATGAATACTGAGACATAAAAGTATAAAGCGAATTTAACAAGAAAGGGTTTCTTAAAGATCAAAGAAAATCTGTTTATTTGATTTGATTAAAAACAAATAAAAAGTACTTTCACTTTAACAGGTTCTAAGTGGCTGTTGACAGAAACCAGTGAAAGAGCTTCCCAGCCCCACAGGATGAAGGTTGGCTTGTGATAGAGGTTCACGTACTCAGGACCAGCTGCCCACGGACACGGCCAAGGAATTCGATTCCGAAAAGCGACAAAGCTACATCGGTATTAGAACATGTTGACCCAAAGGCAACTTTCCTTGGGCAATATACTCTTTATTAAATAGGACCTGCGGTGCTAAAGAATGGGGAGTTTGCTCTCTGCCATCTGTTATAATGCTTAAAAAAGCTCCAAGGATGGGAGAGGCAGAAGTGCCCTTTAACTCAGTGGAGAAGCTGGGACGTGTTAGCTCAAAAACTACTTTAGTGGAGCAGATCAGAGCTGCCTTCCATGGCTCCTGGGCAGAGCAGGCCTGGATGCGCCCGAGGCCACTTGGAAAAAGTCTTTCCCACAGACATCAGTGGTGAAAGCGGAGAAACCCCATAAAAAGATGCCATGCTGGCACCCAGGCAAGAAAGAGCTAGGCCACTGAGGCCAACATTTATTTTAAGTCAGGCTGTCTCAAACGTTGTTGAATGAGGTTTTGTGTTTAATACCAATTTAATTGCCAAAATACTCTTGTTGAATGAGGTTTTGTGTTTGTTAATACCAATTTAATTGCCAAAATACTATTTGAAACAAAGTTATGTCTTTTTTTTCTTTTCTTAAGAGTCAAGACTTCCCTCACTTCTAAAAGATACAAGAGTTGATGGTCTATATATCTTTCAAACCTCAGGTAAGTCCCCAGCTAAACCAAAGAGACCAGATTTGGCATTCCAAAAATACTGAGGTAAAAAACAAGCAGCAAGAAATTTAAAGCATGCATACATTTTGGACCTTCTTTGTGCAAAAAGTTGGGGAAAAAAATCATAAAAAGGCAGTGATTTGAGGGTTGTCTTTAAAAGCAACATGTGAAATTCACCGTCAAAACATGACCAGGGTAATAATCTTAAGAGGAGGAGTAGTAATTTTCACACTAATTCTAGGGTGTCTGTGTGGTCTAAAAGAACTGTCCTCACTGCATCCTACTTTCCACCCTGTTTCCCTGAGCCTGGAAGATGTTCTGGGACAGGCAAACTGCTCACACAATTCCTATTAATCGACATTGGAGACATAGACAAGTTAGAGGAACAAGAGGCATTGCAGTCACCCAGCACGAAGACATTCACTAAAACAAGGTAAGTTGTGAGAGGAAATCAAACGCAGCTCAAATTTAAGCCAGTTGGCAATTTGATGAGAGAATACAACTGTGATTTTGTGTTTATGTCTGGGAGTTTTCCCTAGTGAGAAGGCCTGTCTTTAAAGGAAAACCAGCTCTGCCTTGCAATGTGCATTCTTTTATGTTATGCAGCCTAAACTATGGATGGCCGTGATGTCCGTAGCGGTACACGGAGTGATCGTATCCTGTCTGTGTCCTGCAGAAACGACTTTGAAAGTTCAATGTTTCATCTCCACAGTCATATCCTGACCAACAAACTCAGTCAATAAATAAATAGGTTTGGTGACAAGCCTAGCTTTTCTGTAAGCTGCAGTTAAACAGGAACTTGATTTGTTTTCTTGTATTCACATCTATTCTATAATAATGAATCCAGCTCCACAATATCCGAGTACCCATTATAATTACAAGATCAGAGAAACCTTTGTGGCACCCATTTTCCTAAAAATAATTTTAAAAACCCAGTCTTGCATTCCCATTCTTTTGAAGTCTTTGCTTTAAACCTAAGACCTTCATCTAGAGGGCCATAACTTTGGTCTGAAGCAATTTTTGAACTGCTGACCTGATTCTGCTCAAGAGAGAGGCTAACAAAATAAGGATATGATTTTCTCCGCAGCTAAATATTATCCAAAGGCCAAGTGTGCCATTAATATATATACAAAATTCCCACGTTAATATCACTTTTTTTTTCCCGTAGCACGTAGCATTCATTTTAACTGCCATGCTTGAAATTCGTTGCGAGAGGCTACGAATCTGGGGCAGATCTGGGCAATCTGGGGCAGACGCTGAAAGAGCCGAGCAAAGCACGAGCCCGAAGGAGCCGTTGAGGAGGCACGTGCCAGCCGCCCAGCCAGTGCCGCACGGCAGGCTCTGTGGCAGG